TATATATATATATATGTATATATATATTTGCTATTTCGTGAAAGTGAGAAAAATTTTCTAATGCAGGTATAAAAAACAGGATAAAAAACAAATTTAAAGTAGATACTGATAACTATTACTAATAAGCAATACGCTAAAATGACTAACCTAAAATTATTCGTTACTGACTTCAGTCATTTATTTCTCTTACGTCACTATGCCGTTTCGTAATGCCAACTTCGAAATGATAACAGAATTTACAGGCTTTATAACTAATATATTTCAGTATCAGTCAGTACATTCACACATATTTATTCATTCATTATAGACTTTGTACCGATAAATGTCAAGACTATTCAAATTTCTGTAAAAATATATTCAATTGATGTGTTTTTGCGTCGATTTACCTGAAAATCGAGATAATAATAATTAAAGTTGACGACTATTCAGGTTGGATAATTAACAGCTGTAAAATGACAATGCGAGCATACCTTGCAGTTGCAAATACGGCCACATGCGCATGCGTTTTATGTGTTTCTCTCCGTATTTTTTTATCTGCTTTAAGAACACAAATTCTCCGCTATAAATCACAAGTTCTCTGCGTTAGAAACAAATAAATTCTCCGCTGTAAAAACAAATTATATGAAAAAATAATTTGTTTTTAAAACATAGAATTTGTTTTTAAAGCTAAGAATTTGTGTAATAAAAGCAGAAAATATTTGTTTTTAAGAATTAATTAATGCTGGACAAGTGATCACAGTGCATACTCATGACGCAATTTTACGTGACTGTGACAGATTTTCTGACATGAATAGTCGTCATAAGTAACTTTAATGATTTATAAGACAGATCGACGCTTTTTTTTGTCAATCTTCATTTTTACGCGAAAACGCATTGAGTACAATATTTTTATCGAAATTTAATGTGAACCGGTTATTAATTCTTAATTAATATTTATCAAGCAATAAATAATAATCTATAATAGAGCAATGATAAGACAATAACACGTGAATACTGTAACGCAAAATCATAAGATTCTAATTAAGTATACTCTTAAAAGTATCAATGTTTCATAGTTTTTAGGCGCATTGAATTTTATATTTATTTTACTCTCTAAATCTCGTAGAGTGAAATCTCACTCGAAGAGACTGAAAAATTTGGCCTATTTTGAAAAAAGAGAGAAAATATGATTACTCTTGTTTAAGAGTGGCAGATTTTCATTCTTTTTTGTGAAATTTACTTTTTTTGACATGATATTCACTCCGAAGTGAAATCTCAATCTCTTTTTTGGAGTGTAATATCAGAATAGATGGAACCTCACGTCAAAATCATCAAATGACATCGAATCGATTCCATTATTATTTCTGGATATGATATAGTTCAAAGTATATAGCGACAGTTATTATTCAAAGGGAAGATAAATTTCGTATTAACTAAAAATAATATCGCAGAACAATTATAAATCCTATTCTTTATCGTAATTCTAAACGACTGAATCATATGAAACATCTGTAATATGATTGTCATTTTGATCCATTTAAAGAATCAACTAATAAACCGTGCCAACCAGTAATTGTGTACAGTGAATGATTGTGTAAAATATGACATTTCGTATTATAAAATACTTATCGCAATTGCGTTCTAAAAAAAAAACACTAAAGATAGAAGGAGTGGCACTGTCAGAATAAGAGTTTAAAGTTGAATAATAGCCGACAGTGCATAAACACAATGCATCGCACAGAAACAAACACCAAGACCATGAGGTAATTGTTGTTATTCCAAAAAATTTGTTGTTTTGTAAAATATCAAATATTTTGTTCCAGATTCATTTCATTTAATTATTATTGTATATTTTCTGTTTCATTTTATGATTACTTAATATATATTTATTGTAAAATTGTACACATTGGGGGAGAAGGATTATCGCTGGCGAGGAAAACAAGTGCAACATTTCAAGAAAGTGCGACAATTCAAATCAAATTTAATTAAAATGAATTTAATATTAAAAATTTGATATAAATAATCAACTTAATCAATGACATCGATTACCATAATTGTAATGTAGTATTTGCACATAAAAGATTAGAATATGAATTTAATTCATGGTTAGCAAAATTGTAAATGTATAGGAATGTTTTCTGTTTTAAAGTTAACCAATAACGTGCAATTTTTAATTTGACAAAAAATTCAAAAATCGCAATGCTTGCAGGTACTTAGGCAGGTTACATAGATTACTTTATTATTGTATATAGTATTGTAAATACTTTATTATTGTATATATTATTGTATATATTACTTCATTATATATATAATCACATCCAGTTATATATAAATATATGTATATATATATATTATTTGAA